TCCCATTGTTAATGGAATAGAACGCGCGGAACTGCGAGGCGTGTGGAGAACGATTTTGCATCAGGCGAGCTGACACGTGTTGGTGTGCGGCAAACGGAAGGAAGCGTAGTCATCATCCGATGTTCTGACTAATCTAGTAAATTAACCTGGAGATTTTCATACAGGAAACTACTCACGAGGCTGCTGAAAACTCTTCGACAGCCCACGACCGGTTTCGCTCTTCTGCTTTGGGCTCATTAGGTAGGCGCAAATTGATTTGCAAATGAGTGTATTTCTCGATAACCTGGAGATGTCTTGCAGATTGGTTATCCGTCTACCTTAACATCTGGCGAGCTTAGTGACCTGCTCACTTTTGTCTGATGAAGCTTCTGTGTCGAAGGCGAACTATTGCCCAATCAAAAACTACCTACTGTTTGCCAAGCCCTTCTGGAAAGATGATTTCTCAATCGGTTCCACGCTTTGTTCGGTCGATTGAAGACTAGGAGAAGTTCAGGAACCAGGTGAGACCTAAGGAAAGCGAAGCTCGTGGTGAGCTGTCTTGACCTTTCATCAGACGGAACCAGCAGGTTGATATCTCGTCTGAGTTACAAAAGGACTATAGTGAACACGTTGATGTTGGTGATTTATGTCGGCTAGCTTTTTGACACCCTTGTTCGTTTGTTATTCATTTGTATGATGTGTTCTACGGGTCACAAGAAGATGCTACCTACCTGATTTTCCATTCAAAATTCAGATTCGGAATAGTTCCCAAGTAATTCGAAGTTCCCACGTAAAAAATGACATTCATTTTTGAATGTTTTCGAGTATCGAGTATTTCATATTTTTGGTAGAAAAAATCTTGTATGACTGGCTGAACAGTTTCATATTTGACTTCCCACCACAGACATCTGGCCTCCGGATAACCTGAGTCAACTGTCAGACAATCAGAGATCGGACGATAGTTTTGTCGAAGCAGGGAAATCACCGATACCCACTGCATTACTGAATGCTTACCGAACAGATTTGGAACAGATTGTCACTGAATTGCGTTTCATTACGTCAAAAATGCGGGACGACGAACAAGAAGCCCTGGTGAACCTGGAATGGAAGTTTGCAGCCCGAGTAATCGATCGGTTCTGCCTGATCGTGTTTGCCATCTTCAATCTGTTAGCTACCGTTGTCATTCTGTTCTCTGCCCCCAATCTTGTGGCCTCCTTCCAAACAGAGGACTCTAGAGTATCATCTGGTCTGACTCCACTGCAAGTGGGCCCCTGAGTTTTCAGATTGCTTGAAAACGATGGATTTCCACGATCTGTTCGAAGCGCTACCCTTTCCAATGTGACTGTCTTCATTCCCACTCTCAGTTTGTTCTCTTTTTGGGACCTCTCGACTCTTTTCCACAATCTAGTTTGATGATATTGAATCGAAGGGCTTCCTTGGAATTTCCACAATGTTTGATGTAATGTGATTTTCTGGCCACGTGGAGCTGAATGCGCTGGGAATACTGCCTCAACCTCTGTGAGTCGACATGCCCACGAAAGCATCCAATGCAGTTGCTGAATGCTATCGTCCACAGAACAACCTGCAACTTTCTCAGATAGAACATATATTATACACACTAGTGATATAACCGGTTTTTTTTGAAACAAAACGCATTGAATCGAGTTAAACAAAGATGAATGCTTGGCCCACCAGTCAATCGAGACAACCATGTATGTTACTGGGTCCTCTTTCGAGGCGTCAGGTGTTCCTCTCATGTAACTCAAGCGCGAACACGTCCACTTGTTCAGACGTGAAAATTCAGATGCGTCCAGCGCGTGTTGGTGGAGTAGTGGTAACACGCTCGTGCTGCGTTTCAGATGTCTGGAGTTCGAATCCGGGCACGGATATGCACCAGTGATGAGCTTTAATCAGAGCAAAACTCAAGTCCAGTGTTCTCTCCCTTTTGGTGTGGACTCACCAGGACGATAGCACGAACGATTGTTCAAATGAGAGTCATATGAATATGTATTCTACAAAATCCCACAAGCCATTTTCTGGATGACGCTGGACTTGTGACGGAGCGCTTCCCCGGAATATCTTCCGTGTGCTCGGCACTAGATGGTACAGTGGTTAAAACAGTAACTACTCTGACATCCGTCTTCAAAACAGCCCCTCCTTCAGCCACTTTTGGACATTTATAAGCTAATTTGTCGAAATATTGGTGGCTAAGGTGAGGACGGGTGACTATTGGCCTGTTCAGCGAGCATGGTGGTTCGCTTGCCGATTTGTCACCCATTCGTAGAGACACCATCAGTGCACAGCATTTATATACAATTTATAAAAGAATATTTGATACCACTTGATATGATTGGCTGGTTGGGGAATAAAATTACCGCAACCAACCAATCACATTAAAGATATCAGTTACTGTTTTACAAACCTACAAAAAACGTGTGCCAGGAAGTAGGAAGTACCCATCCAACTGCGCACTGATGACGTCTCCAAAGTTGATGACGGGACGTTACTCTCGGAGTGAATATCAGCGTGTTGCTTCTTGCTGAACGGTAGTACAACTATGTATCGGTTCATTGGCTTCCTGCTCCGCCCACTATGGCATATCAAAATGCACGGTGTCTTTACACAGCCCTTTATGGAGAAAAAAGAAATCATTACAACTATATTTGCAGGGTAGTCAGAGTGTTCCACAAGGTCGTGCCAGAATCGCCGTAATGGGGGCAAGATCCATCGAGTCAATGATGCTCCACTCGGATTGGCTGGCATTCCGACCAATCAGGTCACGCCTTTGTTTGGTCCGTGTCCTGCGCGTGAAACGTCCGTCCAAATGGTGTGATGTTCGGTTATTAGGGACGGCTGGCCTCCGGACACATCGCCGCCTGATCCACAACCAATAACGCACCAGTGATACATTGTTTCGTCAGAGAGAGAGAGTGCTCCCCTGTAACTAATGGGGCGCGGTCACCTCTGGGAAGCATTTGATTGACTGAGGTAGTGAGGCGCCAGATGTGAGAATTCCCGTCAGGTCCGATAACCCCGTGTATTAAATGAATCACATAAACAAAGCTCACAGTGGAACGACTCAAACTCCGAAAGATCTTAGGCTGGCACATGTTCGTGGTGGTGTCTGGTTTTGACCACCAAGGCTTGGGTAATGCTGATTCTACAGTCGAATTATACACTTGTCAAAACGGTAGCTGTGTAAAGTACTGCTACAAGAATGGGTGGGATAAATCCCAAACAATGTTTTCAGGTGAACCAGCCGACATGGTAGATAAATTTGTTTGCCCGGGCAGGTGCATAGGCTTCGATGGAGTGGCTGGAGATAAGATTACTTCTCGAATCGGGAAGGCCAGGGCGGCTTTTGCCAACCTCCGACACCTATGGCTATCAAGGGCAGAGTTCACACCGCGTTGGGGCGATCTATACTGGATCAGAGACGTGATCTCTACGCTCAGATGACATACGGAAGATGTCAGTGTTTGACCATCGATATCTTCAAAACATTGGTCAGCTTTGGTGGTAAAATTGAATTAACATTGCTGAGATGCGCCAGATGGTCTACGGGAGAAGAAACACTCCTGGGTTAAATGAATTACTGTCGCTTCATAGGTTGCGCTGGTCAGGAGACAAACCTCCCACGCCGGATGACCGTCTGCCCTATAGAGCTAATTTCCCCCAGCCCTGTGCTGGATGCAAGTGCCCTAGAGATGGATAGTGTATGGCGTAGAAACGAAGTATAAAAAAGCTAGCCAGTAAACATGGTGTGGTCGACAACTGCTGCCGACCCCCCGGAATGGGGACTCCGGGACACAGTTCGCCAGTGGTTAATGGCCATGGCATGGATGGAACGATTGCGCAGTCAGTGGAGCGCGTTTGTCAAACCTATCGTCTTCAATGCAAAGCTACCCAGTTTCTGAACAAACCGAACATGCTATCGCCCCCAGGCTTGGCTGTATACCTGAAACTTCGGTTTTCCGGTGATCGAAACTGTAGCAGCTGGAACCATGGTGCCTATGGTACACGATTTATAGCTGGTAAATTGAACTGAAATTTAGTAGTTGTGTTTATTCAGATGCCTTTCATCACCTATCGCGACATTTTATTTTCTGGAGAAATTGCAATCCACTGTTCAGACAGAAAGTTTTCTTTACTGACCTTGAAAAATTAGAAGAATCACCAGATTTTTTGTCTGCCCAAGTTTGCTTCCAAAATACTGCCATAATTTCCGGTGAGAATGCATCTTCGGTTAAAATCTGCGCCACAAGTAATTTTCCTTGAACTTTCGACACTGAACTGATTGAACAGACCGCAGTAGTAGACGCGTTGTGAATGCCGCAAGACTGTACTATGCAAGAGTCCCACAGGGTATAGCAAGGGTTCGCAGTACCTCTCAAAAAGATTGAGTGAAGGCCTAAAACTGGGTTAGAAATTAAATCTCTAGCCAAGTGGACGGGATGCATCGCAGCAAATAAGGGTTGCTGTACCTACACTGTCTAATAGTTGATAAACAGATGTCCACACCGAATTACGCAATATATGAACCTCATCACAAAAAATACGTATTTACAAAAGCTATTGAATTCCATTTGATATTGGCATGGTAAATGACAGTCAGATTGAATCACGGCCACATTAAAGACTGAAGAGGACGAGACAGATGATCTCGACCGGCTTTGGATACGTCAGTGAGATGACTTTCCCAACCGTTGCCTCCCAAGTTCAAAGAGTATCCATTTATAGAAACGCCCTGCAAGAAACGCAATCTTCGCATAAAAACGCTTACTTAAACACCATCATTCTCTAAACTGTTAATCCTCTCAAGATTGATTCGTTTTCCGGAGCAAGTGTTGAATTTGAGAAAATCTGAGAAGCGACCAATTAACCTACTTTAGAACACCGGTCAGAAGGGAGCTCTGCGATGCTAAGTCTGTTTGGTTGGCGCGTTGACTGGCTGCCTACATCGGTCCTATATCGATCAGGCAGGACATGAGGCTATGGTTTAGTCGATTTGCTAGCATACGAATCTATGGAGCCCGGTGATATTAGGAAAGTTCGCCGCTTTCTAGTATAACGGTGTATACTACTGATGAAACGTGGAAGCAGTTTATAGTTTGGTGACCAAAATGCCACCCCGGCATCTGATGGAAAGTGAAAATTACTGCGAAAACTATGGGAACGATTTGCATTGTTCGTTCATTTATTGAATGTGATTAGATTTTTTGGATCAAATGCCTGAATCGAGTTAAACAGCACACAATATACGGTGAGTATGCGAGCTTTTGAGACGTTCAAAACAATGAGTTAAAAAATGTCGACGCAGTTTCCCCCCCCCCAAGTGACATAAAAAATTTCCTTCAGCAGTGAGTTTCGCGCCCAAAACTTTTCACCCTTTCATGTAATCAGCCATGAGATACATAATGTCAGAATGAGTTGATGGATAAACCGTTTTTGACTCACATCAGAGCGTGTTAAACAGTCCTCAACACTGGACCATTAAATAAAACGTTGGAACTAGGTGTGAATCGGCATAACCAAGCAGATCAAGTATTTCAACCAGGGGGATTTGTTAGGCATTAGAAAGAAAAAAATCGTTTCGAACCAGAAAAAGGCACGGATAGACGCGGAGCTGTCAGTAAGATTTTCTACAGGTGACTGAAATTTTCTGGGGTCACGAGTTCAAAGAAAACGAAAGGAGAAAGATTTAAGACTGAGTTCCTGTTGAAAACTTTTTTTATCTGCCTCCCATTTACACTGGAATTTAACGTAGTCTTCGCTATCGACTCTGTTAAATGTAATCAAATGGTCTGTGCAAAACGGTTGTGAGGTTGACCATTTTCTGGATGACAATGTTGAAAAAGATTGTCGTGTCCTGATTCACAATATCAATAAAGGGACTTCCGTATGTATGAAGGCCACGTAATGTGCTATAAATAGGATATAATCAAGAACGAAATGTCACTTGCTGGTTTTTCAAACAGGGTGCTCAGTGGCAACGTTTGCAGTCGATAATGAAAAGGTGTACGAAGCTCAACTGAGCTGAGACAACGGGAATCAACTAGATGTCATCTGTTAGCAAATACGCTCAGTTGCATATCCAGTTGGTTTTCACAAAAGACCAAATTGAGTCTCTCGTTTATCGCTCGTTTATATACTGCTTATATACTCGTTCATATACTAAAGATGGATGTTTGGCTTTCCTTTCGAACAACTAACGACGAGGCTTTCGGAGTTGTTATAAATTTACCTGGCTATTTCCAGATGTTTCCAGCTAGACT